ATAATAATAATAATAAAGCAGTGAGCAATAAACTGGGTAGTTTAACAGGAAGCTATGCTTCAGAGGGAGAGAGCTTCTCCTTATTAAAATTTGGATTCCACAGAACAGAACAAACACACACACACACACACACACACACACACACACCCCAAAGAGGCACATACAAATGCATATATTTGTTCTGTGTATTGTTTTTCCTGGACGTGTAGGTTCTGGTGAGTAGTTGGATGCTTGTAGATTGTAGAACACGTCAGTTGTGTCTTACTTTCTAGACCTGACGTAGTATACATATGCAAATATTTATAGCAGGGGCCACCCTGTGAACATGGAATGTCAACCTAATTCTATTCCTCTGTTCTTCCCCTCCACACTCACTTGGCCATTCAGCCAGTTGTGCCTTCTTGGGGGCACCCTAGCACTGCAGTGCTGTGAACAGGCATAAGGCTGCTCACAGAATTCTGGAAGGTAACTACACTAGTCACCAGCCATTTGTCTGTCCCTAATGCATAGAATTTTGTATGCTCATTTCATATATATGTGCTGCAAATTGCACAGATTCCTAAATAGAAGTAATTCGTAGTTCTTGGGAATCAATTCTGCCCAAAGGAATCTCGAGTTTGAAGGCTCAGTCTCTAAAGAGAAGGTTTTTTTGAATCTTCGACTCAATGCATTAAAGCATTTCAGCATTTTAGTTCTATTCTGGGGCTTTTAGTGGGGGGAAAAAGCATCCTTTAGACACATTCATTCTAAAAACTGGACATCTTTTTTTTTAAATATAATGACTGCATTATATTAATCATGACTTTTTATGACTTCCCTATTAGGACTATTAGTCCACCTTCAGGTATATTCATCAGTGTAAACATATACTCATGCAAGTACCAATTGATATATGCTATTTCAAGGCAAGTAAATGAAGTCAGAGTTACGATTTGTGTATAAATAAGTGCCAACAGTTCTGTACATTCAATAAATACTCAATTGTGAGTAACTGTAGAATTTTTTAATAATCCTCTCTAAACACTGACCCAAAAATAAAAATTAAATCAATGTACAACAATTTCGGGACCTTATGATCTTAGGAAAAGCATGCAAACCGGAATTCTTCATCCCCACATACAGATGGTATATGATAGGGCTCTGCTACTTTGAGACCAGGAAGGCTGTTGAGTGTTTGAACTGTGCATATCTCCACATGCTGGAAAGTCCCCATAGGTACATATCTTAATGATCCTAAGAAGGCAGCCCTTGTGGCAGTCTTTGTAATACGTACATGAGCACAGTGCATTTGCAAAGGGGCAGAGAGGTATCTGAGAGCCAGGACATCCAAGTGAAATGTCTTCCTCCCATTTCCTGTAATGCACACAGCGTTCGTCTAATTAGATTATAGATGCCTTTTAAGCCTTCTTTTGCCATCGAGTCACGATTACCATCATCCCTATACTGTAACTCCTGAACATCTGCCATGGTCCAATGAGACTTCTTCCTTCTGGAAGGATCAGTGTTTGCAGGGGTACAAAGTCAGATTACACGGCGTTTTACTGCTTTTGCATTCTCTTTAAGATAATCTATTAATTTCAGTTATCTCTGAACAGTGCTCCTGTAACCCAATTAGACTATTGGTTGCTGCTAGAAGTAATTCAACACCTCCAAACTTTGAGAAGGGACTTAGAAAGAATTGACAATACAGTGAGCCACCACCCAGGGCAGTGGGACAAGGGCATAGTCACTCCAGTAACCGTCTGTTGTTTCCTCCTCATGGATTTGGCAGAAACCCTATGTTTGCAAGATCCCAGGCTGCACTAAGCGCTATACAGACCCCAGCTCCCTCCGCAAACACGTGAAGACAGTGCACGGTCCAGAGGCTCACGTCACCAAGAAGCAGCGTGGAGACATACACCCTCGGCCCCCACCACCGCGTGACTTCGGCAGCCATTCTCAGGCCAGGTCACCTGGCCAGCAGACTCAGGGAGCCCTTGGTGAGCAGAAGGACCTTAGCAACGCTACCTCAAAGCGAGAAGAATGCCTCCAAGTGAAAACTGTCAAGGCTGAGAAGCCCATGGTATGTCATTCACTTTCCTTCTTGTTTTCCCGAAGCTGCCCTGGGGGAATTTAGGAAAGAAGGATCACTGTTTAGGGGCCTCAACTCTCCGCTCTTTACTGCATCTAACATACAGAACACAGGAGCAGTGATTTAATATGCTTTCTTGAAGTTGAGCATTGTAGAGTAAGTCAGCTAAGAAAAGAGGTTCAACAATTCTGAACTGATTTTTAAAAATTATTCTGGAATTATGCTACTTAGCTGTAGGAAGAAAGATGCATCTGTCTGTATTTTCAGAATACTTCTGAGTTTAATTTTCTTTTTAAAGTTGGCGGTTTGTTTTTCTAGTCTTTATTTTTCTTTTTCTGGTTGCCTCAACAACCAATGTGGTTCCTGTTCTTCAGGATATTACAGTTCATGGGAATAGAGAAAGATCCTAAAATAAGGAATTACGATTCAGTATAATGAAAGTTTTAATGCACATTGTGGGAAAACATTTAAAGGAACAAACTGATTGTACCAGACATATGGGAACAAGAGGCAGAAAGGGTGGTGGTAGTACAGAAGTCCAGCACAAATATGGGGAGAATACCACCCCCACAGAAACCAGCCAGGTCTTAGCTCACTGAGCCACAACTATGAGGCACAGTGGGGAGCACAACAGTGAAATAGGATAAGGGTGAAGCACTAAGACATCCTAGTGTCACTCTCTGAGCCATCAAGGAGAATGCATCAAATAAGAGTTGCATGGACGTGATTAGATAACTAGACTTAATACTCAGTTTCGGAACACTTTTCTAAAAATGAAGGCAGTCTAACAATTGCATGGGCACTGTAGATTTGAGAGTGATGTCTTTGTGATATTTAAGCATCAGATGGTCATAATGACAATCTGACGGAATTTGTCTTTGAATGCCTGTGTCTTAAAATAGCATTAAGTCTAGTCTGCCTATAAATATTGCTATTCAGGCTTATCATAGTTTCTCAAATAGTTGTGTTTTATTTGAGAAAGTATTTTACAAAAATTTTATAGTATGTGATTGATCACTATGCTTTTAATCAGTTTAATAGAATTTATTTTTTATATTTTTTAAGTATACCATATATACAGTTCTTCCATTAAAGTCCCCTTGTATAAAAATTGTGCAGAACATTCAATAGCTTATCTTCCTTCCAGTGCTTAAGTGAATTTGTGGTATCCTAGATTATGTCAACAAAAGATAGTGAAGTAGGAATATCATAGGAACCTAGGGAGTCTTAATACATTTAATGTATGTTCCTGGTTCAGAGTTGTCTTCTTTCTCTCACTGTGTTAACAGTGAGAGAACATTCATTATTTAAGTAGATAATTGAAAGAAATAAACTTTACAGAGATTTAGCTCAGTGACATCCAAAATGAACCAAGATGAGAAATATTTTATAAAAGCTTTAAATTATGGACGTTTGTGGCTTGAAAGGACTCCAGAAATTGAGATTAGGTTCTAGATTTTATGTGAGAAACTGAGACTCGCCAGGTTTACTAAATTGATCAAATTTACATAATATACTAGTACATTTATACACATATGTAAGTATGATGTCATTTTACAGGAAATTATTATAATGCACATAAGAATTGCATTTCTAAATTTTTTTAAAAAAACTTGTCTTTGGTTTGATCATCATGCTATAAATTAAATATTTTCTTTTTTTCCCTTATTAATTCAATGTCCCTTCTGTCTAATGCTCCTAAATGTCTTGTTCTCACTTCCTAAGGACAGTGGGTAATAAGGTGAGGGGAATTTGGCTTTTACACCCTTTGTGTTTTCACCTTAGCATTTAATTTTGCTTTCCTTCATCGTTAGTTATTGTGGCTTTGTGATAACTTTGGTAGTGAACATTTCTCAGATAATGTCTCCAATATGGAAGCAGTGACTTGAACACTCAGCATGTGGAAAATGTCAGACTGTGAAAGCCATTGTTTTGTTTGTCTAGGCTTCCATAACAAATCGCATGGTGGCCAACCAAGCAGATGTTCTCAAACTGTTTAATTTGCTAGTGAAAATTTGTTTTAGGACAAGACTTGGCATCACTTTCTTTGAGGAGGATCTGGATATATTGGTCGCTAATGATTAATATTTACTTAAATGCTGATATTTTTGTATGCATTTTTGTAAATGTCTGTGTGCCTTCTTGGATGTCACATGGAAGTGTGTGTGGGCACAACGCTCACAAGTTTTAAGGATGTCAACTGCAGCCTGAGCATGCTGAGAACTTCAGGAAGGAGTCCTGAGTCTGACCCTGGAACTCTGCTAAGGCCAGAGCTGAAGTGATGCTTCATGCCACCATGATTTTGAATATTTTTCCTTGTGCTCTGCTTGGTTGCCCAGGATGAACTTACTGTGTCATGTGGCACTCACTTAGTAGGTAGACTGTGCTCTCCTCGTTCATGTGCTTGGGTGTGCATACTTCTGGAGCAGACTTAGTATCATGGACTCCTGAGAAACCCTGTCTCCAAGCCCCACTCCTGATAGTCCTTCGTATGTGCTTTACACTCCAGTAGTTCCACTGTGGATATGTCTCCCTCCCAGGAGCATTTTCTTATCTAGCTGTTGTCCGTTCTCCAGTCTTCTAATAATTCTGCAGAAGCTATTGAAGAGGAGTGAAGTGCTGCTAGGCTAGGGGTCTAGGTTGGTTCCACTTTATGACTTTGGGCAGTCACTGTACTTCTCTGAACATCACTTTTCTTATCCAGATGAAAAGGATTGGACAACTTAGCACTAGAAAATTAGAAAGTATGAGTATGTTGAATAGGTTATCCCGCATATTGCAAGCAATTAATATCATTGTCTTAGTTCCATTAACATCTGGTTATGTTCCCCATACACTGGGACAGCCAACCTCTTCTAAAATTAAAACTGAACCTACCATAGCCAAGTTGGTTCCAACTCATAGTGACCCAACAGGACAGGGAAAAACTGCCTCATAGGATTTCCTGGGACTGTAGATCTTTACTAAGTAGACTATCTCATATTTTGCTCAAGGAGGATTTGTTGGGTTTGAACCACCAACCTTATGGTTAGTAGACCAACCCTTAACCCATTGTATCACGAGGGATGCTACATTCTTTTTTCCTCTGCCCACTTCCATAAGTTCCTTATGGAGGCATACTGCTCATGACTGAGAATCAGTGGACTAAATTCCCATGTGGTTGCAGTAATTCTCTTACAGATTCATTTGTTTGAGGGGTAGAAACTGGGTAGAATTTTCCAGGTTGTCTGAGTGAACAACTCAAGAACAGACAAAGGGAAATGGTATAGTCATCTGACAGATTTGTGACAAGCGTAATTTAGAGTCTGTCTGTCCTTGTTCTAGCAATAACTAAGCCACTGGATTTTTGACCTTCGCATGCTGCCTGTATTCAGGACCCTGTTGAAGGTCTCAACTGCAGGAAAATACAGAAGTAAAAACTAGATCCTGACTAGTTCAGAGGGACTTTTGTTGGAGAGGAGCTAGTCTGTCAGGCCATGGAACATTTATGTTTAGCTGAACAAAAGAAACACAAAGAATAAAGCAACTAAGAATAATCAGAATTTCTGATGCCCAGATTATATTGTGGTATCCCATCATTCTACGTTTTGTGTGTTGTCATTCTCACAGGAATGAATATCAATTGTCCCCATTTTATAGATAAGGAAACTGAGGTTTAGAGCAGCTAAGTAATTTGCCCAAAGAATAAAGTTATAGAGATAAGATTTGAACCTAGGAAGTCTGTAGTGTTGACTTGAGGGAGGGGGTTGGATTTTCACTGATGATAGATATCATGCCTATCACACTTCATCTAGCATCCTCTACTGTTCATTGGCTCCCACTGCACTGCAGCAGTGGCCTATCCATCATGTTGGTCCACAGAAGTCACTTCCATTCACTACAACATAGTTTTTTCTGTTTATAAGCTAACTAATGATCCTAAAGGTCTTGACAGTGCATGAGCTTGCATTCTTCACTCTCCTTGTGTTCCTCCTTGTGACATTTCTTTCCTTTCATCTTGGCCCCAAGCAGACATCTCAGCCAAGCCCTGGTGGTCAGTCTACATGCAGCAGCCAACAGTCCCCCGTCAGCAACTATTCCAACAGTGGGCTCGAGCTTCATCTGACTGATGGAGGGAGCATAGCCGACCTCAGTGCCATTGATGAGACCCCAATCATGGACTCAACCATCTCCACCGCAACCACAGCCCTTGCTTTGCAAGCCAGGAGAAATGCCACAGGGACCAAATGGATGGAGCATGTGAAATTGGAAAGGCTAAAACAAGTTAACGGAATGCTTCCGCGACTGAACCCCGTTCCACCTCCCAAAGCCCCTGCAGTCTCTCCTCTCATAGGAAACAGTGAGTTCCACAGTGGACAACATGCATGTGCTTTATTTTGTCTTGTTTCTGTTCTTGGCAGTTTGAAGAGTATAGGAGAAGAACTGGATTGTGGGTTCTAAACTGGTTTCTCGTAGCAAAATCCATAGGAGTTGCACTGCTAATAACCCAAAGGGCGCGTCTTTTTGGTGGTTCAAACCTAGTAGCCACTCTAGGAGAGGAAGATAGATCATTTCCTCCCATGTGACTTACAGCCATGGAAGGTCAGCTGTGAGTCTGTTCCAGTTGGATAGCAATGAATTTGAGTTACTCTCCCTGCCTTAAAATTGGGCCATAACTGGAAAACAGCAATGGGCTGAACTTATTCAAGATATCTTCCTGAAGAATCTTATTTTTAAAACAGTGCTGGGTTAATACTGAAATGAAAAATAAGACTAGTTGGAATCGCCAACTCACGTTCTAATTGTGAAGTTATAAATACTAGAACATAATAAAATCTCACTCCAGCAGCCATGACACCTATGATTAGTACCGTCTCAAGCTTCTTTTCTAAAACGTGGAAGTCCACAGTCACTCTGATTAGTATCTGCTCAGTTCATAGGGCAGGTGACTATTCCCATCATCAGTCCCCAAGCCCTTTTTACTTTTGAGATTATACTGAAAACCTGATGCTTAACCTAAGAGCTACTCACTTACCCCACCCCACACCACCATCTCTGAGTTCATCAAACTAAATTAACTCATTGCCGTCCAATCAGAAATTACTTCCAGCTGATCTCCCAGTGCTTTTCCAAGGCTGTAAATCACATAAGAGGTGATCACCCATCTTTCTCCAGAGAAGCTTCTAGTGGATTTGAAGTACTAAAGAGGCACAAACTTTGGGTTAGCAGCCTATTTGCCTGTGGACTATGTAATAAACAAGAAGCACTGAGCATCTGCATATATGTGGGCTGCCTTTGGCCTGTGGAGTTGGGAACAAGTGGAACATTGCAAATTGTTGTTGTTGTTGTTGTTGTTGTAATGTGCCATCGAGTCATTTGCGACTCATAGCGACTCTATGTACAACAGCCCTAAGCCGTGCTCTGTCCCGTGCCAATTTCATTGCCTCTGACACCCATCCCAATTACCCCAGTCACTGAATCAATCCACCTCATAGAGGGTCTTCCCCTCCTGCACTGTCCCTCTACTCTACCCAGCATGATGTCCCTCTCTAAAGACCTGTCTCTCCTTACAACATGTCCAAAGTATGTCAGACGAAGCCCCAGAATCCTTGCCTCCAAGGAGCAGCCTGGTTTAACCCTCTCTAGGATGAATCTGTTTGTTTTCCTGGCAGTCCATGGTACACTCAGTACTCTTCTCCAGCACCACAGCTCAAAGGCATTAACTCTCCTTCTATCGTCCTAGTCATTGTCCAACTCTCTGATTCATAACAAGTGATTGCAGAAACCATGGCCTGTATCAGGTGCACCTTAGTCTCCAGAGAGACACCGCTGCTCTTGAGTACTTTAGAGAGGTCCCTAATCGCAGACTTTCCCATTGCAAATACTTGTAATCCCAGAATTCTTTGTTTTGTCCCTGTCCTGTGATTGGAATAGCTCAGTGGAAACTAGGGAGGTATTAAGTCTAAGTGCCTTGAGAGCAGAAAAGGGAACATGAGACACAGGGCCATGAGCGTCTTTCGGAAAGTCCAGAGAAAGTGAGATTAGTACAGCCCTTCACTGCCACAGAGCAGAAAGTAGATAAATAGCCCATAGCCCAGGCCTGTGATGCCTCTAGAATCACACCAGCAGCAAGAGGTTTCTTTATTCCTTGTTGACTCACAGACTATTCATAGTTGTGATACCAGGTATGGGTTTATTATGGAAATAGGTTAGAGAGTGAGAGAAGCAAAGAACTTCTCACAATACAAGTCCAGCTTTAGTCCAACAGTCCCAAGCCTGATTAATAGCAAAACCTATTTAGTAAAGTCCTGGTTTCAGTTTAGCAACACAAATTCGAAAAGCCTCTAATTTTCTTAATCATCCAGCAAGGTCTGTCTCAGAGTAGTTACAACTCAGCTTCTCCTTCAAGCATGCATCTTTAACAGCAACTTTAACTTTGGCCAGCACTGTGCCACAGTTTGTCCACAGCAGTGCCACAGTCACCACCATCACCAGGGTATTGCCCTCCTCTCCCTCAAGCATTGCTGCTCAGTGTGGGAGGCACTCTCTCTTATCCTAGTCCCATAACTGTTGATAGTTTATGAGATTATGTGTCTACAGATAAGGTAGCTGGGGACCAGAGAGGCTTAAGGTAATGGCTAAAAAAGTCAACTTTAGGCTAAAACTGCACTAAAGCTCTTGGGCCAAGTGTGCTTTTGCCACCTCTTTTATAAATAAAATTTTATTATCACCTAGCCATGCATCTTAATTTACATATTTCCCATGGCTCCTTTCTGCTGTGTTCTGGAGTAGAGCCATTGTACCAGAGACAGTGTAGCCCACAAAACCAGAAATATTTACTGCCTGTCTCTTCATTGGCAATATTTGCAGTTTACTAGTTAAAATTGTTCTTGACTTGTCTTCACCTTGTCCTTCTCTCTTTCTCTCCAGGCACACAGTCCACTAACAGCTGTAACTTGGGTGGGTCCCTGACTCTTCTTCCGAACAGAAGCGACCTGTCCGGAGTAGACATCACCATGTTGAACATGCTCAACCGCAGGGACAGCAGTGCTAGCACCATCAGCTCCGCTTACCTGAGCAGTCGTCGATCATCTGGTATCTCCCCCTGCTTTTCCAGCCGGAGGTCCAGTGAGGCATCCCAGGCCGATGGGCGGCCCCAGAATGTGAGTGTGGCTGACTCCTACGACCCCATCTCCACAGATGCTTCCCGCAGGTCCAGTGAGGCCAGCCAGTGTGATGGGCTGCCCAGCTTGCTGAGCCTCACGCCCGCCCAGCAGTACCGCCTGAAGGCCAAGTATGCAGCAGCCACTGGGGGACCCCCGCCCACACCCCTGCCCAACATGGAGAGGATGAGCCTGAAGACAAGAATGGCCCTGTTGGGGGACAGCAGGGAGACTGGTGTGTCCCTGCCTCCTGTCAACCCTCCACGAAGATGCAGTGATGGAGGCACTCACAGCTATGGCCGGCGCCACCTGCTGCCACGAGATGCGCTGGGAAACAGTGTGAGAAGAGCAAGTGACCCGGTGAGGACGGCCTCCGAACACCTGGCCCTGCCCAGGGTCCCACGTATCAGCAGTCTCAACAGCTTCAGCCCTCCCATGCTGCCCCCCTCCACGGAGAAGCGCAGCTTAGTGCTCCAGAACTATACACGGCCCGAGGGCAGTCAGTTCCGTAACTTCTACTCGTCTCCCTGTCCTCCAAGCATCAGCGAGAATGTCACCCTGGAGTCCCTGAGCATGGATGCAGATGCCAACCTGAGCGACAATGACTTGCTGCCCGATGATGTGGTGCAGTATCTGAATTCTCAGAACCAAGCCGGGTATGAGCAGCACTTCCAGGGCAGCATCCTGGAGGACAACAGAGCTCCCAATGTGGCCAGCTTGGGAGGTGAATTTGACTCCCCGGGGCTGCCAGACAGCCATGTAGGCCAGTCCTACAGGCCTCTTGAGCAGCCCTGTGCAGATGCCAGCAAAACAGACCTGCCCATCCAGTGGAACGAAGTCAGCTCTGGGAGCGCCGACCTTTCCTCGTCGAAGCCGAAATGTGGCCAGCGTGCCACAGTGCAGCAGGCTCGAGCCTTTGGACTGTATAACAACATGGTGGTCCACCAGCCAAACCCACTGAGAAATGGGACTGGCCCCGCCGGGGGTTATTCCACCCTTGGGGAGAGCAGCAGCACCTACGATGGCCCAGAGCACTTGATGTTGCACGGCAGTGGTGGCTCTGGGCCTGGCGGGAAAGCCTTCCATGAACAGTCTTGCAAGGCTCCACAGTATGGGAGCTGTCTAAACAGGCAGCCAGTCATCCCCAGTTTGCTGGACGGTGCGTTCAGCTCTGGGATTCAAGGATCAAAGCTGAAAAGTGCCACAGTGCAAGTGAATGGAAGCCAGGCAGATTTTGGCATGGCTGTTGTGCCTGGTGAGTCAACTGGCAGCACCATAACTGCCATGCAGAACCAAGAGTTGATGGGGCAGGGGTTCCTAGCTCCTGCACTACTGGGAGACAGCATGCAGCTGCAAGAGGGAGGCCACCCTGGCCAGGGGATGCTGGGGCAGTTAAGCGCTACCTCACTACTCAACAACTATCCAGGGCCAGAGAGTTGTCTTTCGGGGCCACACAACCTCGGTATGCAGCCCTCCACTGGGGCAGTAAGCAGGGGCTACCAGCAGTGCACCAGCTACGGGAGCAGCCGGCGCCAAGTGGGGCCCAGGGGGAGCCTTGCTCTACAGCAAGGGCAGCTCAGTGACACAAGTCAGACCTGCAGGGTAAATGGCATAAAGATGGAAATGCAGCCCCCTCCCCAACAGCTCTGTGCCAACATGCAGAATTACTCTGGTCAGTTCTATGACCAAACCATGGGCTTCAGTCAGCAAGAAGCCACTTGCCTGCTCCAGGGGGCCGGCACTGAAAACTCCGAGTTACTTTCCCCAGGTGCTAACCAGGTGACGAGCACAGTGGATAGCCTCGACAGCCATGATCTCGAGGGGGTGCAGATTGATTTTGATGCCATAATGGATGATGGGGACCATGCCAGCCTGCTGTCAGGGGCCTTGAGCCCAACCATTCTTCAGAACCTTTCCCATAGCTCCTCCCGCCTCACCACCCCCCGGGCTGCACGCCCCTTCCCGGCGCTGCCTATGAGCACCACCAACATGGCCATTGGGGACATGAGCTCCTTGCTCACCTCCCTGGCAGAAGAAAGCAAGTTCCTCGCAGTTATGCAGTAGGTTTTAGGGGAAAGGACAGCAAGCATGCACAGACCTGTAAGAGGGTAAAGGTGAAATGGACTCCATTTTTGGTGGTGTTCCCATTTGTTTGGGTTTCTATGTATCTTAGAAGGAACCTGGTGGTGCAGTGGTTGATGCACTTGACTGTGGTCTGGAAGGTCAGCAGTCAAGCCCACCAGTTGTTCTGCTGGAGAAAGATGTGGCAGTCTGCATCAGTAAAGATTACAGCCTTGAAGCCCTATGGGATAGTTCTCCTGTAGGGCCGCTCGGAGTCCGAATCGGCTTGATGACCACGGGTTGGATTTTTGTGTTTTAGCAATCTCATCTCACCTTATTGGGATGCGTTTCAATATATTCCTTTTATGGAAAAGGACTCTGAAAAACCCTAAAGTATTCTAGGGAGAAACTGTCTTCCATTATCAGTTTTGATTCAGTATTGTTACACTCATTTGAATCCTCACCCCCTTTTTTTCAGTTGTAAGCCTGCCCCCCCACTTTTTTATTTTTAGTAAACCAGTGTAAATGTGTGCTTTGCATGTTCTTCCTTTTAGAAAAGAGTCCCGTGAAAGGATTTGAAGTGTTTTCCTGTCACTCAGAATAGGAGTTGATGTGCTGTGACCAAGGGGTTACACTGCCAGCTTTTTAAGCTTTTCATTACATATGCTCAACTCTTATTTTTCCCCCACATTGGACACAATAATATGGGTAGTGAGTTAATAATCCGTTGTGGGTGCCCGATTGCCTTGATGATAGATTTTAACACACTCCCTACCCTAATTCAGTTCAGGGCACACTTCCTACTGATGTTCAAAAGTGGAAATTTGAACTCTTGCCAGTGAAATTGTTTCCTTATATTTTGGATTATAAATTCCTTGAATGCTTTGGGTGGGTATGTCTATATAGTCAGTTCTCAGTTATCTAGTTACCTCTTCTCCCTTAGTCTTCTTGAATCTTCTCCAATAGCATTTACTGCTACAGTGAGAGAGGGAAGCTAACAAGTGATGTCACTCAAATGCATTGCTAATTTTACCTCTTCTGACAAGAAGTTAGGGAATTGTAGACTGAAACTAATGGATAAAATTAGTGTGAGGGATTCTTGTGGATGTGCTGTGTTCATTGATTTAGGCTCCTATTTCCCCATTATCATAGTTAACTGAGAATTGATTGTATATAGTGCTAAGGATATAGATATTTAAACAACCCCACGACTGGTTGTGTTATTAACATGTTAATTTCATGATAGTGAAGGAATATTTCTCTTTTGAGTCCCCTATTATAAGGGATTTGTAAAACTTAGTTGTAAAAGAGAAAGGTAACATGGAATATTTGGAATACATTGTGTCAATCCTTTCTAACATTTGCGAGCACTAGAGAAGGTAATTAGTAGCTGTGTGGATGCCTTGTTGTACACACTGTCTATTAAATACTACATCTGCTTAAGAAGTTAAATGTTATGTACAATTAGTCCATAATGTGGACTGGATTCTGTATTTTTGTTTTGGATTAAAACATTTAAGGATTAAAAAAAAAAAAAACCCCAAACTGGCTACTCCCCATGTGCAGTGGATACACACAAAGACATACTATGTGTGCACAAAAAGTACATGGATTATCCAGCATATTATTTCTTAAAATATGTAAACTATTGAAATACAATATTAACATCACCTTACACCATTAACCCCTATACTTGGGTTGATTCAAAGTAATTAATAATTCTTTATGTGGGTTTTTCCCTTTATTCCTGCCATGTAAATTAGTATTAGGAGACAAAAATCAAGTAAAATAAACTGTTAGATAATAGAATATTAGGTCCAGCCCATTTTTTTTCGTGTTTATTTTCCTTCTTTTAGACCAGAAATCTTGGCATGGAGGTAATTGTGCCATTTGGGGCATTGTAGCTAAAATAGTTGGATTTGCTTTCAAGCAGGTATTCAGAGTTAGACAGAGGGATGAAATACTATTCTAACAAATATGGAGGCTTCTTTTCAGTCAAGTACTAGAACCCCAGAGGAAAAGGGAACTGCTAGTCTGAGTTCAGGAGCGTAGTCTCTGCCAAATTTGAACAAAATCTGCCACCCATTTCCCACACACATCACATTATCCAGATTCTTTGTTATATGTCTCATACTTAAGCATGTAGCCCAGCCCTTTTCTACTCTGCACAAGACCTACATTTTCCAGTAACTGACATTTTCCTTGTTGCCTTTTGTTCTTCCCAGATGGATGGACACGAGATTCTGACTAGCACTGTGGTCGGCATGTGCACCTCCTCTGTGAGCTTTGGTTTCAGTCTGTCCTCTGGGTTGCTCCTATTCTTGGCCTTCTTTCTTTCTGTCCTTGCTTTCATTGCTGCTGCCTACACAGTGGCAGGAAACATAACTTGTGTTGGCTAAGTATTTGGCCTCTCCCAGTATGGAAGTTTCAGAAGGCTGGAGAAGAGGAGAGAAAAGATGTAGGACACTTCCCTGTGATTTCAGGGAGCTGCTTTGATGGTCCAGTGGGAGTGTGGTCAGCTCAATTGAAGTATCCCATCTGGACCCGGAAGCTCTCCTCCATGACACCACCATTTTGTCTTCAAATTGACCATGACCATGACTAATACCATGACCATGTGTCTCAAAGTAAAACTGCTTATAGAATTTTCATTGACTGAATAATTTCTTTTATTAAATCATCAAGCCTGTTTTCTGGGTGGACTTGAACCTCTGTGCTTGGCATCTAATATCATGCGCCCACCCCCAGCCTCCTCCAACCTCTTCCCTTCTCAGACTTAGGCTGTCAGGAGGAAGGAAGCTAACTCATTAGTGTCATTTTGCTAGTCTTTACTGTGGAGTCACACACGGCACTCCTGTTTACACCTGCATCAAACGCCTTTTTGTTTCACAAAGCCATTTTTTTGTTTGTTTTCTGTTTTGAAAAGACTGATTTGATTGACCCTTGCTCCTCATATCGGCGTGTCCTTTTGAGCTGCGGTGTTTCGATTCTTGCTATGTATGTGCCTTATTTTATGTTAATCTTGTTAATGCAAGGGACCAACTGATGTTGCCAAACCTGAGCTTCACTGTGTGGTTGGAGAGTGCACTCTTGCCGTGGAGTCTGAGATGTCCTGTAACCTTCTGGTGTTCCTGTGTTGTTTTGAACTAATAGGAGGATATTCTCTTCTGAAAAGTTACTGTGTGTATCCTGCAAACGTGTAAGATAAAAGTACAAGTTCATTTTTTTCCACCTTTTTTAGATTTTTTTTTAATGAAACGTGTAATCCTTTTTTAAAAGAAACACATGTAAATACATTTAAGTATTCTAGAGTAGTGTCTGGAGGTAGCAGCCCCAAGCCTCCTTGGATCAGCCTGCAGCTCGCTGGAAGGCTTTGGTGCCTGCCTGCCTCAAACCCAGGGGCACAGGCCAGCCGACAACGAACTTGACTTTTGCTTTCCAAACCACTTAGTCCTTTTATAACAAAGACAAAAAAATGTTTCTTACAATGTCAATAAAAAAGCAAAACTCTTTGTACTGAAACTTGTTGTTTTATTTAATTAATTAAGAAAAACAAAACTACTTGTGGTTGATTTCATTTCCACTCTTGGCAGGCCCTTCCATGTATTAAGAGGGTAGGATCACTCTGTTGAGTTTTCTTCATGTAAGCATGTCACCAAGCCTTTTTTCCACAGTACAATTGATGAGTTCAGACCATTCGCTCTACCCCCAGGAACTTTATTTAATTCACAGCTGAATAGGAAGGAGTTATTCACAATTTAAACAAACTTACCCAGCACAAAAGTTCCAGTACCTTATAAGTAAAGTGCAGAACAAGATGGATACTGATAATGGTGGTGAGAGGACATCTGCAATCATTGTTTTACAAATTTTCATCTTCTCTTTGTCACATTTATTGACGAAGCACATAAAAATCATCTATTGATAATAATCTTCCAGGTTTTTTTCCAGTCCTGTCCCACTCACAGTGATGTCAGCACAGATGTGCTGGCCACCTTCTAAATTACCTCTGTGTGGTGCAAACTTCCAGCCTTCAGTTAACAACCAAGCATATTTACCGCTTGTACTGTCCAGGAATCCCTTTATGTATTTTCCCAAAAGCATTTCAGAGATACCCCAGCACTGCTGCCGTTGTGCCATCAGTTCGATTCTGACTCCTAGAGACCCTGTTTTTGATGTCGTAGAGAGGTTTCTAGAAGCGCTGAAGGGGCAGATCACACCACTTTTCTCCTGTGGAGCCATTTGGAGGTTCAGACTACTTTTTTGTAAGCAACTGAGCAGTTACCCATTGTGCTCCTCACTTGATCACCACAAAACAAAACCCATTGTCCTTGAGTTCCATTCTCTCTCAGCAAATAGGCTGGACAGAGTAGAACCACATCATAGTGTTTCTAGTGGGTGTAAATCTTTAAGGAAGCCAACTGCCGGATCTCTACCATAGCGGGCCTGCTGTCTTTGAGTTACTGGCCTTTTAGCTTCTAAGTGCAGCATTGTGCCAGCAGGACACCTGTCTTAACACTGGCCAGCAGGAAACCTGCTATGATGGGGGTGAAGGAGTGATTGCTTTCGTGTGGCTATCACTAGCTTCAGGTATCCCTTGTTTTCACTCTTCAGTTTGCAATATTGAGACAGGTTCTCCTTTAGAGAGTAAACCAGAGTTTATGATTAACAGAAACTGTCATGTACCTGCTTTTTTAACTTGGCAAGTCTAGATGCCATCTCAAAAACTTCTCATGCTTTTGTCTCAGAACTTCTCAAGGAAAAATAAACCCACCTCAAGAGAATTCCCTAACATCCATCCATGTTGCTGTTGTTGTTATTTATCATAGAGTCAAAACTAACCCATCGCTGACATTCCAGCGGGTTTTCAGAGACAGTTAATAGAACGAGAGGAAATTGCCCATCCTTCTCCCATGGAGCAGCTGGTAGATTCAAACTCCGTGCGTTCAGGATTGCAGTGCAGCTTCTTGCCACTAGGCCATATCCACATAGGATTTGGAAAA